AATTTCCAAACAACTTGGGAATCTTTCAAATCAATCAATGTTCTTTCTCTTGAATTTGGCGTTATAGGTACAAGTGCACACAACGTCATCACAAATGCCGACGGCACCGGTGAAAGCTGTACCTGTACCGAGTCAGCGGAATGCGTTTACGAAAATTGAGGTCTGTTTGTTGCAAAGATTTCAATTTTACACATTCCCGATATTCCTTTTGCATCATGGCTGTAAGACTCTCAAGTTTTTATTTAGCTTTTTTTGAGCGTTTTATTGTAAAAAATATTTTGAAGGAACGACGGCTTGGAAATAAAGATGCTGAGAATGAGACGTGCTCAGCTATTCCATCACCATCTGTTCGTGCCATCTCAGCGTTGAAACGAACTACAATAGGAAAAGGTGCTGCCGCTGAACCAACTCCTGTGCCAACAGTGGAGAATATGACATTGCCGTCAAGTAAGCATTCCTCTTTTTTTTCTTACATACCCTTACGCTTTCACGCTTTTGAATGGCTTATTTGAAGTGCAGCTGCTGAATCTTCTAAGCCACTGAATCTAGGATTTAACATGATACCCGTTAATCGGCTCAAAACATGAAAAATCTATATTATTTTGGCTGAAGAATTATTTGATTTTTCGATACAACCTCTCTAAATATTGTAAATTTGAGAATTAATGGAAATTCAAATCGTTTAGCGCAATTCATTGTGAGAGGTTCCGCTGCGCGACGATCGTTGGCAGAAAGGAGTCGCCTTCGGAAAAATACGGAGGAATCGACTCCGCATACGCCGACATCCGAGAAAGCTCCCGAAAGTAGGTTTTCTTCATTTAAATTACATAATTTACATAAAGCGTTTCTATCGTATATTTGGTAGGAATACACACTACACAGGAAGTATTCTTTAAAATTGGTAAATCTTTGCGCTCCTAGGTCATCCTCAAGAGCCTAAAGCAGAACCGAAACCGGCCGAATCAGCCGCAGCCCCCGAAAATCTGGCAGATACTGGAAGCCTCCCCTCCTTGGATAATGCGAAGTTTTTATCGGCCTCACCACCAGAAG